CCCAATCAGACCCTTGCAAAAGGACTGGGTGATTGGAAAGCCTGACTAGGTTCCCAGGATAGCCCACGAAGGTCTATCAAACCTCATTGGGTTTAGCTGTATGTTACATGCTGAATATTCTTAGTCGGTCATGAGATCTCTCTGGACTGCAGCTTCTCTATCAGGGATGGTAACAGTTAGCTCTCTGCAAGTGAGGTAGCTGTGAGGCCTATCTGAAGTCATCTCCAGCAGCACGCAGCACTCCAGAAGATGTGCTAGAGAAACACTTTCTACAAAAGGGCTTCCCCATGTCACTGCCAGTGACATTTGGAGACTATCCTGTAATGTTTAGCAGCATCTCTGGCTTCTACCCACAAGATGCCAGTAGCAGCACACCCCCACAACTACTTTCCAGGCATGCCAGCCACCATCTGAGGACCACGATTTTCCAGGAAAAGATTCACTGGTCAGCTAGGGACTACTCTCCTTCTTACCTGGCAGGGTAACCCTAACTCCCGTGTGTGGAATAGCCAGATGGGTGTTTCTGAGGGTGAAGAGACGTGAGGGTCTCTGAAGTGTTACTGAAAACAGGGTGAGGACAGTAGAGGGAGCAGAGAGAGTGAGGTTCCCCACCTCCATCCCACTCATCTGCAACAGGACCATGGTCACCCCCAGGTGGGCTGAGGCAGTGTGACACACCCCTCTCTACTCTCTTCCCCCTTTCCACCAACAAGGGGCAGGTGAGCCACCCGTGGAAGCTATCAGACCAGAAGCAGAGTACAGGCTGCTGTCTGGCCACCAATGGGACATACAGACAAAATAGACTGGATTTGTTCCCAAGCTTCCTGACGCTGTGACTTTGGACATGAAGCCTACCCTACTTCCCCTTTGATGCCCTCCTGACCTCTGACTCTCCCTTTTATCCACTTATCTGTTGAAAGATTATGGGCCAGGTACTTGCTATGTGTCTAGCTCTATGCCAGGTCAGTAAGGGTATTTCTCTTACAATCCCTTTTGAAAGGTTCCTTTTCAAGAGGGGAATCAAGGAAGATCTTGACTAAATAAACAGAAGAGAAGGCATAGTTGGAAAGGTTCATATATGCAATTGGGAAAAGCCATGCATATTCACACACATATCCAGGGAGTCACAAAAGCCATCTACGACATGCTGAGGAGAGACGGAATAAAACAAAATTCCAGAAAAATTTAAACCAACAAACTGGATGTGTTGATGTTACAAAGGGAGAAGGAAAAGTCAGTCTCCATAAAGGGCACCCGAGCCCCTGTCTAGCCCTCCGAGGGTGAGTGGGTCAAAGAGCTTTCTTAGTACAAGGGTTCATTTTCCCAATGGGACAATCCTGATTGCACCTCAATCAAACCATTACCAAGTTTTCTTCTTGCAATCCCTGGGTACTATCTGCTTCCTTTGTTCCTCTCTAGGAACAGAGCCTGACACTAGAAGTCACTTAAAAACCACTCCCTTCCACTACCATGCAAGTGTGTAGTCAGGGACTGTGCAGGGCCAGAGAGACACACCACGGGGGTCACTAATTAAAATAAAAACAACAGAACAAAACAAAACAAAAACCCTAGCCAAGCTAAGGAGTACGAAAATCATCCAAAGATGAACCCCAAAGCCAAGCCAGGTTTCTGCTGTAATGGATACACATCTGCCAGCGAGGCGAACGGTGCAGAAAACCAGCAGATATTGTAGCCAGCCTGGCAGCTGGGGGAGGGATGGGCACACTTAGCTGGATAACTATTTATTTAGAGGAGCTTTGCAAATGACAAGTAGGCAAGCAGTTCTTGCACTTGGACACAAGCAGCAGCATCAAGCACAAGATGACATCTGAGAATTGTAACCACAGAATTAATCTACAAAGGTCCAGACAGTTGAAGGGGTAGTTTTCAAGAGCCCGACTGAGCCAAAAAAGTTCTGGAGGGAATGGTTAGTCTATTCCAGACCCCATCATCCATCCAAAGCTAACCAGCCCGAAAAAAGACTTGGAATTACAAGTTCCTGAGCGCCAGAGGGTGAATAGGGCCTCAGGGACATAAAAGCGCTCACCCTTCTGCTGAAGCTGGTGGTTGAAATCTTCTTGTTCTGTACTTGAACCCTTTCGGATGAGCCTAGGCTGGTTCAGCGCTCTACAGTCCCAGCTTCAGCACAAACTCTAGCTCTGAAGTGAAGCTGGTTTGTTAAAGCAAAAGCCACACCAGGAACCGAGCTCCTCTATCTCCGCAGAAGGGCCATGCGCTAACCCCTGACGATCTTTCATTAACAATTCAGACCCTGGCGGACCACAGTACCTCACCCAAATGCCAACACAGTGCAAAAAAGGAGCGAGTTCGAAGATGCGTGGTCTGTGCTTTGTTTCTGCCCTGGGTGAAATGTTCTTCCCCCCTTCCTCCCCCACCCCGATCTCCCACCTACAAGGCTTTGCCCAACTGGCCTCAAGAGATACCCTCCCTCCCAGGCTTCCCTTTTCCTCGTCCACCCCAAGAGCCTGGCAAGGGATGGGTCATATTTGAATCCATCCTTTAGCTGCTCGAAATCTCTGTAGGGCGGGCCCAGCCACGACGCCACAGCCTCAGGCCCCTGTCTGGCCGAGAGAGGGCGTTCCACCCCCAGCCGAGACATTCTCAGAAATACAGATCAAACTGGGCAGCCGACGTGGGCGATTTGGCCCTTAAGGTGCTCGGTCAGTCTCAAAACTGCACGCCTGCACCAGTATTCAGTGGTAGAATTAACTAGAAAACCTCAAAGCCTGGGGGCTTACTGCAGGATGGGGGAAGCTGGGACCTGTTCGCTTTCCATCTGTCTACGGTTTCCAGGGAGGTTGTAAAGGTGGACTTTTAAGCGAAAACCCCTCATTTAAATAATATTAACAAAATAATACCACTCGGTATGCTTATAATAAAAAATACACCAGAAGCACCGATCTGGATAGCTACGGTTGCCAGTGCCAATGAGAATGATGCCTGGGTCAGGGATGAGGGGCTCCTTCCCTACATCTTCCAGTAGTACAAGCTGGCACTCTCATACTACCCCAGGATTCTGGCTCTCCGCTGAGTAAGGGGTGGGGTAACGCCCAGAGGTTCCTCCTCTGGCTGGTATAGTTCCCATGGCAACCCCTAGCCCGCCCGCCCCCCCCCCAGTGGGTTGGGAGGCATGGGTGTGGCCGCAGCATCCCAGGGGATCTCATGCCTTCTCACACTCTCCCTCCAGGAGAGGCAAGGGGGCTCAAAGGAGGTGATGGGGAAGCAGAGCTTGGCAAGCGATGGGTCATATTTGAATCCATCCTTCAGCTGCTCCAAATCTCTGTAGGTGAACTGGCGCCCCTAGCAGTGAACCATTGTGGGGTGTTGTCCCCAGGACGCTCTGGGCGGGGAGGGATGTGGTTCCTCTGAGGACACCTGCACTCAACAGTCTACTTAGAATCCCACCCGAGCGGTTCAGCTAACGATCCCTGGCTCTGGGCCGAACTGGGAGAGAAGTCTGCTCAGGGTCTCGTCTGTTCCATGCATGCCATGGGGGCTGTCACTAGACCCCAGCAAGTCAGTAGATCCAACAAAGGGTCTAAAACGAGTGGTGAAAAAAAAAAAAAAAAAAAAAAAAGGATGGAACTGAGCGTAGCGCGTAGGTAAATATCCTCGTCCAATGAAAGCAAAAAAAAAAAAAAAAAAAAAAAAACAGGGCTGGGAGCGCAGATCCTAAATCCCTAAATCACACAACCTCGATGAACAAAGCAGCGAGCTCCATTAGAAGACCCCAGGTGAACGATCGGGTAAGCAAGCACGGCGCAGAAAGCTGAACACCAAGATGTCCACGTTCACCACCCATTGCTCCTTAACGCAAGTCCCAGCTTGGTCCTTGCTGGCCACAGCACTTGGCATGCTACGATAGAGACGTGACTCGCCACGAAAAGATGGCACCTCGCATTTAGAGGGGGAAAAACCGGGGGAGGGGTAGCAGAGGGAGGAGACACATCCCACTCTCCCCCCCTCGCCCACCCAGGTCCACACCCACTGCCGCAGTGAGGGGCGAGCCCTGCGCGCCAGCCCGTGCCTCCGGCAGGGAGCGCACATGCCGGGAGCCCGGCGCAGAACGCAGAGAAAGGAATCCGCCCTGAAATGCACCTGCAGCCCTCGCGCAGGTCTGTGCTTGGCTGTGATTGTGCGAGCCCTCCAGCGGGGAGCCGCGGCTGGCAAGCTCGCTGACTCGGCGAGGCCAGGTGACCCCTGCCTCTTCGAGCTTCCACATTGGGATCCGCGCACTACCTTCTCTCGGGCACGGCGCTGCCCCTGTCACTGTACCAAGCGCGCGCAGGGGGAAGGGCGGCTAAAGTGACAGCGCCTGGACCCCTCCCCATCCTCCGGATTCCTCCCAGCCCCCAAATGTCCCCTGCCGGCTTCTGAAGGAGGAAAAGGGGAGGGGGCGGGACACCGCCTTAAATCAGGGCCAGTGAAGGCCCCTTCAGAATCACTGTCAGGGAGCACACTGTCAGGGAGAGGCATGCAGTCAGTCATCTTTTCCCAATCCACACCTTCCTTGGGACCGATGGCAATCGGGGGCAGAGAAATGTGATTTCAGGTTCAGTTTCGGGGGTCATCGTTGGATCCCCATACACACACACACACACACACACACACACACACACACACACACACACACATCCACGCCCATTGCGGCAAAAGGCTGAGATCCAGAGCACGAGCAACCCCCTCCCCTGGGTCACTGCCATCCGCGCCCCACCCTGATGGCACAGACGACCCCCACTGTTTGCGTGGAACGGATGGTGCGGACCCCAGAACACACAGACAGACACACATTCACCCGCGTGTGTGCATCTCTTGCACGCGTTTCCTTCCCAGCTCCCCAGCCCCGAGGGCGCAGAGAGGCCCCCGCTGTTGCGCTTGACTGATGCCTAGCGCCCTAAATCCATCTCTGGGGCGAGGGGCCACAGGAGGATGGCGCACAGGACCAGATGGGGACCGGATTTCAGAGCTGCGGCACTTACCTGATGATCGACAGAAGGCGAGGACAGAAGAGGACAGCAGAAGAGAAGGTGGCTGTGACGGCGGCGGCGGCGGCGGCGGCGGCGGCAGAAGGTGGGCGGTGGCGGCGGCGCTGCTGCTGGAGCCGGAGCTGGAGCTGGAGCTGGTGGGTGGTGGAGGCTGGGAGCGCGCGCCGCCGAGAGAGCGCGTTCCCGTGGCCGGCGGGCGGCGCAGGCGCGAGCCACGGGAGCGCGAGCCTCTCGAGGGGAGGGGCGGGCAGTGAGGCCTGCGCGGGGGCACCTTCCCCTCCGTCCACCAGGGGGCGCGCGCGAGCACCCCACAGCCCTCCCCCGCCCCGCGCCGCCCGGCTCGCTCCTCTCCTCGCTTCCTTTCCCGGTCCCGCCACGCCTCGGGCCGCCGCACTGACCGCCGCGCGCACGCGCGTGCTCCGTGGCGCACGCGCACCCCGGCCTCCCGGGGCTGCAGCCTTTGTCTAGTCCAGGGGTCTCCTCCCTCTGTCCCCGCGGGCCGAAGCGAAGCGGTTTGCGTGTCCTTCTCCGCTTTTCAGTTCACCCTCGTTGGCTCGCCAGGCGGGACACGCTGGACCCCGAGGCCTCCGGCAGGCGTCTCCCCAAAATGGGGTCCTCGGGAGAGAGACCACTTTCCCAGGGGCCGCTGTTTGCTTTCTTTCTTTCCACCTATTTATTTATTTATTTTGTTAATGGCCAAAATGAATGATTTCCTTGACAAATCCTCTTGAAACAGATTAACTTTGATCACAATACAGTCTAGAGTTTTCGTGAAAAAAAAAGATTTTTTTTTTTTTTAAATCAAGGAGCGTTCAAATCCATTAGGTATCTAACCGTGACCCTAGGGAAGAAAAAATAATCTTAAAATAGGTAGGTTTTAATGATGCTTACCACACTGCAAGGCATTTTCACAGTTATTTTTATCTCGTTCGCTGAGACACCTTTGTACATACAGCTTGAGAGCTGAGTTTTTAAGGTGCTTGCCGGAGATGGCCACCTGCTGGATGTCAGGCTTCCATGTGGAAATTGGCCGTTAGTCCTCATTCTAGCCACTCAGGCGTGGGCTGTGGTTATAGTTTAGGTTTCTCACCTCCTCAAAATGCTCAAAGCTGGAGCCTGTTCAAGTGCAAGGAAGAGGGGCAGGTACCTCTTGCCAGAGGGCTGGAATCTTGTCTGGAAGCTTTAATTTGCATGACTTTTACTTTCTTTCTTTTACAAGGCAGGTTCTCTATGCAACCCGGGCTGGCCCAGGACTCAGAGATCCACCATCCTGCATCTGCCTCCAGAATGCTGGGATTAAAGATGTGCACCACTATCCCAGATATTGTTTGAAAAGCTCCAGTGTTGTACAAACTCAGTGTGTTGGTTACATCTCAAATCCCAGCATTCAGGAAGGCTGGGGCAGGGGGATCAAGATCGTCCTGGGCTACACAGTGAATTTTGCTGCAGTTACAGAGAATCAGGATTCCCAGCACCCACATGGCACCTCACAACAGTTTGTAACTCCAGCTCCGGGAGATCCAACACCCTCTTCCAGATTCTAAGGGCACCAGGCATGCCCTTGATGCACATACATGCATACATACATATAAACATACTTACAGGAAAGAAAACCTCATAAATCTGAACTAAATCTGAACTAACAAATGTGCAAGGTTTTAGGCTGGATATTCTGGCAACACTTTTTTTTTTTTTTTTTTGGTTTGGAGACAGGGTTTCTCTGTATTGCTTTGGAGTCTGTCCTGGAACTCACTCTGTAGACCAGGCTGGCCTCGAACTCACAGAGATCTGCCTGCCTTTGCCTCCCAAGTTCTGGGATTAAAGGCATGTGCCACTAACGCCCAGCCAACCTCTTTTTTTTTTTTTTTTTAATATGGGCTTAAATACTCTTAATTACTGTATTATTTTGGGAGCTCGGGGTAGAGGATGGAAACAGGATTAATTTCTTAAGCCTTGGGTTCTGAATTTCTGTTCTTCTAACTATCACCATATTACCCCCTGCTTCAATGCTCCTGCTTCAGTCCCGGACGTGTAGGACCTCAGTGTCTCCCTGCTCTCACGGCAGTCTCTTGCCCAAAGATGTCTACCAGCCTCCAGACAGGTGCACTGAAACTCCATGGCCCTGCATTCGGCCCTTCCCCTTGATCAGAACACCTGTCCACTCCACTTTTATCAGTCACCAACTCTGTGTCTGAGGCTGCTTAACTAAACCTCTTTCCCGCCTCTGTACCCTGGTGTCCCTGCTCTTTCTCCCAGCCATTGACACTGTACCTAACAACCTTCAAAATCAAGCTCAGAGTTTCCCAAAACCTTCTCCTGTGGCCCCGAGTGGAAGTGATATTTCTGGTCTCTACAAGGAACTTAGCCAAATTATTTCCGAGGAGAGGAGCAGAATTAGTATTTACTTTTCAGGGCCAGCATTTTCTTATTGTCTCTAGCATTTGCTTTTTCCTCGGTGGGGAATCACATATACTTGCCAGTTACCAGCTATGTGATACAGACCTGTCCAAACAGAAACTTAAGGCATGCTGCATTTCTATGTCTTTGACTTCCTTTCCACTGCTAGAAAAACATACTGCCTGGCACTACTCCCGAAGCCCAGTGCCTGGAGTGAAAAGGTCTAAGGAAGTACATACGACATGAACAAAAATTAAAATTTGTTGCAGGAGCCACCAAGATTTTGGGAGCTGGTTGTTAGCATGACAAAATGGACTGTGGCAATTTAATAAGTGTGTGTGTATGTGTGTGTGTGTGTGTGTGTGTGTGTGTGTGTGTGTGTGTGGTTTCTTATACAGTAACAAGTTGCACTCACTAAATGGTAAATTGTATGTATGTCATTATCATTTTCAAGGTCAATGCTTTTGTTACACTTTATTTTCTTAATATGTGTCATCTGTAACCATCAAAGTGACACTCCTCCACATTCAAACTTACCATTATGAGCCCTTAATGCAGAGTATGATTGAGAACTGTCAAGGACCTAGTGACACTGTAGTCCCCTGATACAGAACCTTCATATTTGCTTACACTAAATGGAGGTAATGAATGCTAGAAAGAGGCTTGAGCGACTCTGTCCTTTAAACGCATGTGATGTAGGATTGAGTGTTTATTCCAGATAATTTGATCACTGTGGGTAGCTAATGGCTCACTAATGCAGGCCAAGAAGATGTATCCCCTCTCATCCCTCTGCCCCTCCCTCTTGCTGAAAGAGAAAGCTAATGGCCTCTTGTGTCCAGCCCAAGCCCGCACGTGCCAGGCCAGAGAAGGCAGACTAATATAAGGGAAAGGAAAATGACGGGGGTAGCAGGAACTGCAGACCCAGTTGTAGCCATCACGTGTGCGTTCGACACATTCATTCCCTTTTCCTGGTTTCAAGTCCCTTATTGAATGGTCTCAGATGGGGTTAGATTCCAGATCAATAGTCTGAAAGCTCTGCCACTGAATGTACACACACACACACACACACACACACATACACAGAGAGAGAGAGAGAGAGAGAGATCTTTAGAATGAGTATAATTACATAGCACACATTTTATGTATGGCTATTAAAACATTAAATCACTGTGTGGTGAGACATGGAGATGTGCTGCCCAGATCTCTTCAGGGAGGGTGTGCTCCAGTACTGGAGAACTCTCTTCAGACAGGCCCTTGGCTGTTCAGACCTCCAGGTGTAGCCTCAGCTACAAATGTCCCCTGATTCAAGTGGACAGGGTGGCACATAGCTATAATTCCATAGCTATAATTCATAAAGTAAAGGCAGAAGAATCAGAAGTTCAAGATCATCGTAGGCTATTGAGCAAGTTTGAGGCTAGCCTGGGCTACATGACACTATTTCAAAAACAAACAAACCAAAAATAAATAAAACTGCCTGTTCTGGGAAGCCCCATACGTGACGACTGATGGATGTGTGGGAATAAAGGCCAGGTTCTCTTGGTGCTACAAGACACACATTATGGATCAAGTTAACTTCAGAAGAAGCCAAGTTCCGCCAGGCTGTTTCACTGTGAACGGAGGCTCAGCTTTTCCTCCTGGCTTGGGCAGGTGTTGATAGAACATTCTAGTAAACAGACTCTCTGCTGCTTTTGACCCTTAACCCAGGGCAATTGGTGTTAGGAATGGTTCAAGAGAGTAGAGGGTAACAGTCAGCACTACACAGGCAGCAGGCAGTTGTTAATGTCACTTGGCATGGTATGTGGTATTTTTGGTGTGGTAAGTCAGGTGTTTGGAACATTGACACGCTCCAAAAGGAGTGGAGTTGGCTCAGGTCATCTGAATAGCACCAAAGGTTGGGCTTTCCAGCAAGGCAGGTGTGCAATAGCAAAGTCAGGACCCTTCTTGGGAAAGGAAGATGTTGTAGAAATGCTCCTAAAATGCTCGGGATTTCCAGATTCCTTGGACAGCTCTGAGCCTGCAGGAGTGCCCTTGTGGATCCCTTTTGGAAGAAAATTCAGCCTTCCCTAGACTAACACATAACTTCAGCAGAATGTCTGTCCCCCTATGCTCTCTCCTGGCATAAATACAAACTAAATAAAAACAAGGATTAAGTCACAGTATAACTTAGTCAGGTATGATGACCTACTGAGGAATAAAAGAGGACATACCTCAAAGGACCTTTAAGACATAACCAGTAGGTACCAGCATGAGGGACATGGAGTGCTGGATTTCTTTTTATTATTCTAAATTCTAAACTGTGTATGTGTGTCTGTGTGGGGGTTTGTGTATGGGACTGCAGGCACCTGCAGAAGTCAGAGGCATTAGATCCCTCTGGAGCTGGAGTTACAGGCAATTGTGAGCCACCTGGTGTGGGCAAAACACACCATCATAACTTCTGAGCCATTTCTCCATCCCCAGGACATGTTCACAGAGACCACTGATGGTCATGGGAATTGATAAGACCCAGAGCAATAGAGGCCAGGAATGGCCCTTTGCTGTATAGGCACAATATCAATAATACCTGGCTTGTTGAAAACTGTCTTTATTTCCAGGGGACCCAATCCATGGTGCTGGTGACCCTCAGCCCATTTAGACTACAGCTTCCATTTTTTTTTTTTTTTAGAAATGTGTTTCTATACTAAGTTAAAACAAAACAAAAACAACAGCTCCTGGGAGGTAGAGTCGGGAAGATCAAAAGTTCATGGTTATATTGAG